ACGGTTGTCTGAGTCTGGTTAGTTAGGTCTTATCAACAGTGTCAATCCATCGAACCAAATAAAAGTCCAACCCGGGACCTTACAGGCAAAAAACAAGCATACAACTCACTCGAGAAGTTGAATAGACTGTTTTTATTTTGTTTATGAACTACATTCTTCCGCCGATGTTCCTGTTTTCCAATAATCACCTTTTCTTGCGAAATCTTACTGATTATTGTAATTTATGCTATGGCCAATGTTACTCTGTTGAAATTATTCATACTTAATGAAAATTCCCATCGTGGCATTGACAGAACAACACGAGAAGCGAACAAGCTCGTTTTGGATAACTTCATCCTCTGGCTACTACAGTTATATACATTTAGTGATTAAATGTGCAACAAATAATGTCAGAACGAAAATACACTAATTGGGCGGCATGGGAGTAGTGAGGAGTGGTTGGGAAAGACGTGAAAACAAAGAATTGTTAATCCGTGGTTTAGAGTAGGGAATCGTGAAAATAGAGAAAAGAGAGGGAGGGAAAGAAGGATGACACAGGAGCTGATAGATCCTCCCCCAGCCTGAAGCGACTCTAACGAAGGAAAAATTACATGGGTTGTAGGTGCAACTGTTTAAAAAAGCTATCTTCTCTGATTAGAGTCAAAGTTAGACGCCTCAATTGAATGTACACCGAGACTGTATTGGGTAGTAAAATCTGTCGTAAGAGGTGATCTACACTTCAGAAGCTCTGAGGCTCGACCATCAGCTCTTGTCCCAACGTTGCACTAAATCATCGGCCAGCTTCTATATCTGCCTCCAGCTCCCTCCCATCTCCTTTTCGAACCCATGATGTTATTAACTCTGTTTCACCAGACTAGGTTCTCCGCGTCGGGAAGGGAATATAAGGTCAACACAGGTCATTGCCTCGATCGATTGGCAACAACATTTGCAAAAACACGTGTCGATCAGTTTGAAAAGCATATTGTTGAATTATTCACCACGTATTCATCATCCGGAATCATCCCCGACTTGCGGAGGTCAGTCCTGATTAGGCCAATCCCAAAGAAAGAGTGGTCAAATTACCGTTTAGTTACCTCCTCATCTATGTTGCTGAAAGCTTTTGAAAATGTTTTGCCGCATTGCATGATGCGCCTATGTAACTCCCGTGATTTATACCAGTTTACCTACAAATTACATCTGTCCACACTAAACGCTGTCACCTATTTTTCCCCTCTGTTGTGCTCGTCTTAGACAGGGGTGCAGGAACCGCTCGTTTAGCCTTTCTTGATTATACCAACGCCTCAGGTTCCCAGCCGAAAGCTGCTTGTTGAACGTTTCTCTGAGTGTGGTCTGAGATTTTGTTTTCATCGACCACTTCTCACGTGAGACTCAGTCAACATCATTTATTGGTAGACAGTCGTCTTCCATAGACAATAATTGTGGTGTTTCTCAGGATTACATTCTGTCTCTTTGTTATTAGTTACGTACAGAATCACCCAGTTCGCCGTAACATTTTTTTATTTTCCAGTATGTTGATGATATTTGGATTGCAAGAAAAGCACACTGTAGCGAACAAGCTCTTTTGCGGTGATTCATCTACAGACCAATAAATCACAATTTATGACGAAATGTTTAGTAGGAGGAAGAAATCGTAACAAAATGTGAATAGAAATAATGAACATTCCAGTTCCATGACCGGATATTGATTATACTTCGATAGTCACAAATGCGCATTGGTGGGTGGGGGATGACTGTGTCGTGTGTAATGTTGGCCATGGAATGCTGAGTGTTCTTACGAATTACTTGGGA